TATATATATATATGTGCATCTTAGGTGATTCTACACTAAGTGGACAACTCTCACACCTGGCAGTTAAAAGCCTCGCCCCCAAAACATTTTTGCAAATGGATGTCAATTATCCATGCTGGTTGCAGATACACAGGCAACCATGTCACAGAGTGAGCTGTCAGATCAGCAACAAACAAGATATCAGCATGTTCTGCTGATGTTTCTGTAAATATTGTAATACATTCAGACATCTAAACTACAGTATGTTAATATTTTGTCATTGATATGCTTCAGAGCCATGTAAGTTGCATTTTTTGTAAATTAGTCTGTGGATGAGCTTAACTAATGCATAAATACAGGAGAATTATGAACATGGTTATTGACTTTACAGAGCTCTGTGTCAAAGCAAACAAAGTTTACAGTTACCGCAGCAGGCCCAATTAACTCTAAAAACAATCAGAATGAGTAAACAAAAGATGAACTAATCATGTGGCATTCTTATCAGTCACTTTGATTAACAACATTCTGACAAAAACATTTTACCAAGAAGCATTTTAATAAACAGGTCATTGAATCATTTATATGAAAAACAGAAAACAAAACAAATGAAAAGTCACAACTTCAGAATATTCCCAAGAATCACAGTTTATTTATCTTTATTCAGCAAGCCCCTTGATTGGACTAGTAGCCGGCTCACATCAGATCAACAGGAGCAGAGAAGTTGGTTACTTCTTACCTTTTTAAAAAATGTAGTGAGTAGAAAGGACAGATAATTGTGTAAAAATGTAATAAGTAAAAGTAAAAAGTATGCTGAAAAATAATTACTCAAGTAAAGTACAGATAACCAAGATTTCTACTTAAGTACATTAACAAAATATTTGTACTTAGTTACTTTGCAACTCTGCAATAAAGTATGGTAATGTGCTTTTTGAATCTGCTGTAGTTTCAATGTCAGGCCACTAGCTGGCGCAGTGATTTTTGTATTTCAATRACACACACGTGCATAAACAATCTTTAGCATCAAAGCAGTAACATCCAATATGGTGATTACATGAATGTTAGTTTGGACTGAGGTTTAGCAAAACAGACAGTGCTCCACTGTTGATCATCTGCAAACACAGAAAAAAAAACTATTGACTGCAGCCGTCCATAGTGCACTGGCGCATTGTCAAACAGATGATGGCTGTTTCCAAAAACCTCCATTCCGACACCTGGACGCAATAAGTTTCTGTTTCTGAGAAATTGACTGCTGCTGTGTACACAAACAGCTGAAATGCAGCAAAAATGCTACAGTTTCACTTAAAAACGGCATCATGTAAACAGGGCCTACGTTTCGAGATGTGGTGCAGATTTTCTTCTGACAAGAAGCAATATGATGTAACAATTGCACACTCAACTTTCTGTCAAACCATGAAATATGTAGAAAAGTGCAACTGTTCAATTGACTCAATTAAATCCAACTGGTCATATCAGCTTCTTTTCATCTGCTACTGTTTATTTTTATACTTTTGTACAATCACTGTACACTTAAATAGGACATTTTGTTGTGTGGAATCGAAAGATTTGTGAATTTGTTATCCTTCACTTAAGGTACAGGTCCAGTTCACTTGTACATTTTTTCATGTCCTGATGCATCTCAGTAATCCAGGGAGGGAAAAAAAATACATTTTTTAATTTGCTTTTTTTTTTGTCCCTTTTACATACACATTTGAATGAATCATTCGACATTTAAAGGAAAAGTATTCCTTATATGAATGACTTATTGATGTTAAATCACACAAATTCAGCCATTACTGTCATGTAAATGTGAAAAGGGGTTATTGACAGGTTAACACATTAAGAATCCACTTTCAGGTGCACAGTTTTTAAAATAAACATCCAACACTTAAAATAATGCCTTTGATGCTTCAAATCAATGTTTAGGTCAAGATTATAGAGTTTTAGATGGTGAATTTAAATTGGTTCACTTGTGGAACAGACAGAGAGAGAGAGAGAGAGAGAGAGAGAGAGAGAGAGAGAGAGAGAGAGAGAGA